ACTGCTGCAACAACTACTGCTATAAATTATAAACATGTTGCTCACATCCAATTATTGGTGGGGACATTTAGGTCGGTTCAAAATTTTGGTAGGGACATGTCCCTATGGTCCCTATGCAAACCTACGCCCATGGTGGAATGGACGGGAAAATACTTGTGATGTCATCACCTGCTTGGCTTGTCTAGTGCTACCATTCCCCTCGTGTTATTAATAGTCTCTAGATAATAATAAATTCCTCCTTTTTTCATTAAGGGGGGTAATAATGATTAACATAATCACATAAACATAAATCAAATGAAAATTTTGCGAAATAAAACATAAAAGCCTCCATCAGAGCCAGCAGTACTTCACACACGGCTATGCCGAGAGGGGGCTGCTACAGACTGACTAAGGTTAGCCCTGGCTGTGGTTAGACTCAGAGGTCCACTGGTTGCCACGGTCCTCTAAACAGCGGAATTATTTTTTATTACACACTAAATATGGGCCATATAGTAACGCTTAAAAGTATAATGTTCTTCCTTCAAATGATCAAACATACTTTTAAAGACTAATGGCAACAAAAAGAGACTTTTAACTTAATACTCTGAGCTCTGTGGGTGCTCCAATGGAAGATGCTGCTGTCGCGTTGTATGCTGGGACAGCTGTCAATCTCAAGAACTCACAAGTCTGATCTGATGAATACTCGGTATAGAGGGCGGGGCAAAAACAACATCCGCAGGCTTTGCTTGTTCACTGTCTTGTCTGTCACTACCCTTATCCGTACCAGAAGCACGATCAGTACAATCAGGTCATTTGCGCATGTGCAAGCGGATATTCATCCAGATCACCATAAATAATGTAATCAAGGCACTAAAAGTACCGTATTTTCACGACCATAAGGCGCACCGTACTAAAAGGCGCAGTCTCAGTTATGTGTGCCATTTCTGTATTTAACACACACATAAGGCNCTTAATACTCTGAGCTCTGTGGGTGCTCCAATGGAAGATGCTGCTGTCGCGTTGTATGCTGGGACAACTGTCAATCTCAAGAACTCACAAGTCTGCTCTGATGAATACTCGGTATAGAGGGCGGGGCAAAAACAACATCCGCAGGCTTTGCTCGTTCTCTGTCTTGTGTGTCACTACCCTGATCCGTACCAGAAGCACGATCCGTACAATCAGGTCATTTGCGCATGTGCAAGCGGATATTCATCCAGATCACCATAAATAATGTAATCAAGGCACTAAAAGTACTTATTTTTATCCTTAAGTCACTAAAGAATACTAATATAAGTCTTCAAAACCGTTTTTATGACATTTCTGAGACAATCTGCTGCCACCAGACCGTACAATGTGACACTAGAACAGCAATAACTTGTGCAATGTATAATTTGCAATTACTATGTAAGACCCTGTGCAACAACCTGTTACTTTATATTTAATACCCAGTGGAATAATTATATAGATAAATACCCATCTATTCAAATATCCTGTGCAATAACCCTGCAATAAAAAATAAAGGACTTTATATGTCATATATTAACAGCTTGTCATCGGACATGTTCTTAGTAGTCCGGCAAAATATGATTAACTATGTTTATCTATTTTTAGTTATTTCTTTCTTTAGATTATGCTCTATATAACATAGAGTTAACACGAAAGGAGGAAATAAGGCTAAAAAAGACTAGATTTATTTTTAAATCCAAAGCTACAAAAGCTCCTGGAAATAGCGTCCCATTTCTGGCAAAACAGGTCAAACAACAGAAACAAATTTAATGCATTTATTTTATCAGGGGTGGTGTATCTTTAAATCTACTGAGATTATATGAAGTTTTAGGACATGACAGTCTGTTGCATTGTTATTTTTGGGATTGCAGGCTGTAATATTTGGGAATCCCTGGTTTATGGTAACTCTGTAGGGGCTGAAGAGATCCCCAGATGTGAACATCTGTGGACAGGGAGTTATTCGTTTTTAGTATTTTTTTTTTTTTTTTTCAAATTTTGTTTTCCAGATGTTATTTTCCATTTTTCAGCTTTAATTTTCATAAAATAATTTTCATGTTTTTTTTAAAAAAAGTATTGATTTTGTTTTAATATTGACAGAATGTAATGTTCTCATTCTCTTTTTTTCTCTTTTTTTCATTTTGTAGAGAACAAGTTCTACAAATTGCATTTTTTCTGAAGTTTTTGAAAAAATAAAATCTGAATAAATCATGAAGCTGTAGACCTACTGGTTCAGCTTTTGCAAACACATTATAAATTGCTTAATTAATTTATGTTTCATTTTTTCGTGTAGTATTCCTCCATAACATTGCAAAAGATAGATCAAATCATATTGATGCTTTAGAATGGGTAACTCAAGATTTACATCTAAAGGAGAAAGTAGGATAAAACTTTAAAATTGTGATTCTATCACAAAGATTCTTTTATAGTTTGTCTGACTTAAGCTATTTAGAAAAAAGTAACGGGCAAAAAATCTTCAGTTTTTGATATGCAAAGCTGGCAAATGCATAACCTAAAGGGCTGGGAGGTGTAGTTGGAGTCACAAGGGGTCCTACAAAATAATAACTCTGTATTTTTCACATTTCTGTATTTCCAAAAGGTTAAAAAAGAAATGCACCACTTACCTTGAGCATCAGCGTTACACATTACCTGGTGTTTGTCATGTCACCTAAAATCCAAGTAACATTCTGAGAAGTTTGTGGAAAAGTTGAAGGGGTGTGACCTCTTTTCTATGGCCCTGATTATACTGGAACTGTGGGCTAATGAGGCACAATAGTATGTAACTGATATATTTTCTCTTGAGAATGCAGACTGTTCATGGTCTGAACTATAATATAAATGTTTAGAAAAGCCACTCATATGATTTAGAATTCACCCTGACACCTGTTCCTGAACTTCTAAAGACACAGCTCTGCTCTCTCTGACCTCTTTCCCAGCAGATGTGGACAGCTGTGAGAAATGGCTGAACTGCAAGAGTGACTTTCTCCAAAGGTATCTGGAGCAGGTTTTGTCTGAGCTGCCCAGCTGCCCCTGCTCGTACCCGTCTGAAGTGGCTTACACCGTGGTAAGCCTGCATGATGAGACTCACGGCCGAACTTTCCGATGGCGCGACGCCAGTGGCCCAAAGGAGCGCTTGGACATCTACAAGCCCTCGGCACGCAGCTGTATCCGCTCAGCGCTTTCCAGCGACTCATCTACTCTGGCAGCACAGCACTGTTGCTACAACGATCGTGGTCGGCTGATCACACGCGGGAAGGGAGCGGGCACACCGAACCTCATCAGCACAGAGTTCTCACAGGAGCTGCATTTCAAGGTAGATGTTCTGCCTTGGATCCTGTGTAAGGGGGACTGGAGTCGCTTCCATGTGGTGCGGCCACCAAATAACGGACTGAGTTGCCCAGAAAACCCCCATGAAGACGTGTTTATGAATGAACTTGAAGAGGCCAGAGAGTACTGAGGTCCTAGAGCCAAAACAACTACACTTCAGTTCAAGAGTCAGAAGACCCAGTCCAAATTTCTGCAACACCCTCTGCTAAAAGTTTGGAAATATTACTTTTAAGCCACTCATGAGCTATTAATCATTTATGGAAAACTCAAACAATTTCATTCTTGACTGGGAGTTTTGATGAGGTTTGTGCCTATTTCAAATTAGGAATAGCATCATTGTTCTGAATACAGGCCGGACTTACTAATTTAAACGAATAGATGAGGGAAAAAAAGGAAAGATGTCTCACACATCTGGTGTTACATCCATTTCTCCCTTTCTAAAGTCCATTCAACTGATGGCTTGCATTATGCTACCCCTGGACGATAATATATACCCTAAATCCTTCATCATGCTTCTTAAAGGTTTTATAGAAACAACAGTGATGACAATTAAGTGTGGTTCTTTTTGAGACACAGCAGAGTTTAGCTGATCGACCTCCTAACAATGCTGCTACAGAGTGAAACCCCTCAGGCTTTATGGATTTAACACATGACTTGCAGTTTCGTAAAGACAACCCGTGCATTCTCTTAGTGTTTTCTCCAACACTACTGCAAACTATTAAGAAAAATGCATCTGAAGATGGAAGGACCTGAAAGGCTAAACGATCTAAAACACTTGAGTGTCCCTGTTACAATTTACAGAGTTTATTACGAGAGCAGCCTTTAGGTAAAAAAGATCCAGAAAATATCTGCTCCGATTTTATCGGTGTCCTCACAATTTCTTTCACATCCAGCAAAAATAAATTATCTGGGTGCCAAAGAGATACAATAGATGCCAGTATAAACCAAGCCTCCACATCTCTACAGGGCAGTTGTTGGTAAAGTGATTAGGTTTAACATGAAAGTATGTCCCTAAAATATTCTCAGGGGGAATAACTAACCTTGCCAAACTTGTTCACAAACCTCATCAGCAGGACACTTCTGGATCTTGTATAAGGCATTTTTGTGGTAAAGATTAGCTGGTGTGTATTCCATGTATAATCCACACAGGAAGTGAGCAGATTAGTTTTATTTTTTAAAAGCAGGTGGATCCTTTGAAAAGTTGGATGGTTAGGACGCATTACCTTCAAGCTTCTTGACTGAACTGCGTTGGATAGAAAAGATTTAACTTCCGAAATGAAGTCATGTTGTTAGCTGGTAAAGGTTACTGGAATAAAAACAAGTTGGTTTTACCAAATATTTCTGGCTTTAGCCTTAATGTATGGTGCATGATATTAGAAAAGCATAGTTTTAACCTCTGGCCTTTGAAGAACTACCTGATGAACCTAAACATGACTCTTGGACTTGTCCTTTCTATCCAATCTTATTCCCTGGATTTGTTTTTTTCTCCAAACCTCTTTTCAGGATATTCTGCCTCCATCATGCAAACAGGCATTTTCTACTTTGAAATGACCAATTTTGAAGTAAGGCACTTTATTTTTTTCGCCATTCATTACCAGGTTTGTTATTCTAAGGTAAGGTAAGCTGAGCAGAAATGCTGCATTATTTCATGAAGCTGCATAACATATATGAAGTGTTGATAAAAAGCATGACCTCTTTGTGACTTCTGAGTCTAGTATTACATATTATGGTGTTGTACAGTATTTATTTCTCTGGTCTGATTTGTTTTTAAGTTTGCTGGAGCTTTGAAATGTCTCTCCTCTCAACATGGTGCACTACTTAAATTAAACAAATGAAGGCACCCGATAACAAAGGGAACCATTTAGCCTCATATCACTTTAAACAGCAAAAACGTGTGTCTGTGTTTTATTTTGTGTTGGACTGCTCTATGAATATGTTGTTGCAATCATACTGAAGAAATATATAAATATATATATGTATAAATATATATATAAAGAGTTTGCATTAATCATCTGACTTATTCATGTGTGTCTTCTTTTATCACATTTTAGACACCAGGGTTGATTTCAAATCAGCTTTTTCAGCATGTCTTTATAAAAAAAACAGATTTAAAGAGACATTTTCTTAGTTTTTCCTGAAAAATAGCTTAAAAATAATGCTTATATTTGATCTTTTATGACCAATGCATCTATAAGTCTGTGATTTATTTTTCTTAAGTACTTTGGGACAGAAGTTCCCACACTGTTCTGCGGATGTTACTTCAAGCGCATCCAAGTGTTTTGGCCACAGGTGGCAGTATAATTATAAAACTCCATAAAGCCTCTTTAAACCCTTAAGCCCAAGCGTCCCCTTTTAGGGGGACTGGAGTTCTTTTGCAATAATAAGTGTGTAGCTGACTCACTCTGAGACTGACACACACTTATCATATGTCCAGATCTTCATCTGAGACTCCTATACAAAGCTATCTACTTCATTCTAATATCCACAGACCACAGCTGCAACACTCTGCCAAAATGTGTTCTATTAGCACCTCCAGTAGTAGCCATTTAAAATTTTCCCACTTCCCTTGATAGGCCCTTGGTTGGTCCCCAAGTATTCCTTTTTAAACATCAATCTTTGTACTAAAATATTCTTTCTGTCGTGATTTGTGGACATTAGGATCTAAAGAGAAGCGTAATTTCCTGTTCAGACCCTGTAGTTCAATAAAAGGGTGGAGTCAGAGTAAAACAAATATACAAGAGTGGGTCACTCCAGTGGCTGGAAGTTGGAGGATCTTGCCAGGAGTTGCAGAGAAGTGGGCTGCTATTCGGATGGCGTTTGATTGGGAAGGGCCATTTTGAATGGCTGCTACTGTAATTGTGCATTGCAAATGAAAGCCAACAAGACACTAAATCAGCTGAAGTCAAACTCATTAGCAAAATTCTGTTAATTCGTAGCTTACTACTCCACAAAGTTCTCCAAAAGTCCAAATCGCCCCTACCTTTACAGTTTTTTTGTTTTTGTTTTTTATCAGAAGAGATTTTAAACCCTATAAATTACAGTTTATGGGATATATCCAACCCATAGCTTATTATTCAGTTAAAAGTTTTTTCATCTCTCTGTATTATGGAACAGCAGCACGCCCATATTTGGAATCTGTTCCTCTGTATAAATCACAAAGACCTCTGCTAGTCTTGAGTGTGATATATTGGAGCTTCTGTCTATCTTCAATTGATGCATACCATTGGTTTCTGTAGAATTCCAACATTTCCGAATCTCCCTGATTGGTAAAAAGGGTTTTTTAGATACCCCTATGAGTCCTCATCATCTGACTGCCACTTAGCTTTGTATATATATAGTGTGTAATTAAAGTGTTATGAAAGGGTGCTGAAAAAATAAAACTTGTGATTTTGGAGAGGAAAACTGCACTTTTAATAACCAAATATATATTAGCATTCCATATTTTTTATTTCAATAATAAATTCCAAATTGCAGACATTATACCAAACAGTTCCAAAATGTCCTGATAGGGGTTTGCCTGGATTTGTTTCGATTTAAACATCTATAAATTCTCAGTTGTTTGTTTGGATGGACACCAAGTTTGCTACGTAATGCAGGTAAGATGTTGTAATTACAATTTATTATGTTCATTTCCTTCATTACCGGAAAGGTAAGAAGTTTTGTATATAAACATCTGGATTTTCTGTTAGGCAGAAGTCCTTTTTTTGTCCATTTTAATCTAATTTACTCAGGCCCAGAATAATTTACTTTCCAATTTTCACATCCACTTCATCCTCCAGGACCTTTGTCTCACTTTATAACAACATAGGCAGTTTAGGCAGTGTACTAGTTGAGAAAGGCCTTCTAAAGTGCAAAAGTACCTTTTTAGGAAAATAGACCTACAGACTTTAGAGGAAAGCTTAAAATAATGAAGTCTGGGTCAAATCAAACAAAACAAAAGAACCCCAAGGTGAGTCAGAACCGACCTGCTATGCCAGACATGACCAACTTTAACTTGAAAAATTCATACATAAAATCCAAATAAGTAAGAAAGATTATTGAACTAAATTACCAGCAAATGTGATGGCAACTTTCCTTTATAGTGGACTGGACAAATAAATCAAACATGCCACATAGGAAAAACTTCTGACAGCTTTGGAGCATCATTTGACTTGAACACCTCAGTAATACTGAAAATCATTCATTTTGTTCTACTTCCCTCAATAAAAACCTCCACACCAAAGAGTATTGCTCTCTAACTTTTACTGTTCTCACATTTACAACTTCCAAACTGAAGACTTTGTGATGCAACCTAGTGAGTAAGGCACATTATTTGTGGATTAAATAAAAAAGACTAGACAGAAACATAAACATGCTCAGACCTATCATTCAAGGTGCATCGTTAGAAAGACCACTTACAATCAAACTCTGACAAGAAAAGAAAATAAGTGTATTTTCAAACTACTCTGTTGTATTTTAATGACAAAACAACTAAGGACGCAACCAAAGAAAGGTCCCTGATTAATGCTATTTGGTCTATCCACTATGTAAAACTGATGGGAACTGCAAGGCTTTGCAATCTGTGAAAGAACAGTTTGAGGTTTGGAGGTTTAGTGTCCACACTGATGAGGAGTAATCAGAATGACCCTGTAATCTTTCATGTTAAAGCTAAATTTTCCACAGGCAAGAGATCCTGGAAATAATAGGACCTCTTGCAAATTTGGAGACTTAGGATGCATCTTAATTCGATCAGCTGTATAAGCATTTCACCTACAGGCTGATTTGTCAAGTAATAAACACTTCCAACACAAAACAAACAGTCACATCAGAGCAGGTAGTTGATTTTTGTGGGGATTTAAAAAGTGAGAAAATTTTTCATAAATGACACTTAAATATGGCTGATTCTGAATGCTCAATTAAACATCTCAGACAAAGTTCAGCTGTTCTAGAAAGCTCTAAAGCCCCTTTATGCTTTAAGTTACAGCTGCCACTCATGTGGTTTCTAGGTTGATCTATCCCTGCCTCAATCATGTCTGAGGAAATACTCTTTCTAGAGGATTAAATAACCTTGAGATTATAAGTTTAAAGGTCAGAGTAATGCAAATCCATAGGTTTAAGCTGCACAAATAGTATTTTCAGATGCTCTACCTCTTGACGGTAATGACATCCATCCTTCTCTTATTGTTCACTTTAACCCATGAGGAGATATTTAAATGTATAAAAAGTAAAACCCTAATATGAGCCCATGTACCTGTCCCTGTGCAGCTTGTGCTGCTAAATGAACAAGTATATTTGATCCCTGTGTGGTTCTGAAGTTGACTACAAATGAGCACCCAATGAAGGAGAGCCAGACAGATGCTGACCACATTTCTGCCACAAAATAACAGATAAATAACCACAGATGT